TAGAAACTAAACGAACCTTCTTCCGAACACATCGATTCTACACACAAAAAATTGAGAAAGTACCACAACCAAAAAGCTCTACTATTGTATCAGACAATTATAAAGTTTAAGTAACATTTATTTATGATATTCTTACACTAATAATATGGACATTTTTAATACTTTTATCATACTTTACATATTTTGATAATGTATATTATACTCTAATTTAATTTGTAATGCTATAATTCCTTCTTGTATATTTTAAGAGTTTTTCTTGTATTTTTATTCCCTAAACCATTTACTGCGTGTATTATATATTATAATATGAATAAATTATTATAACTTTAACTGAGAAAAATGAATTGAGTAAATAAACTTGATAGCTAATAAAAATATCATTATCTCTCTCTAAGCTCCATCTAAAAGCAAAGATGACGCGATGAATTATAAGAAAAAAATATTGCTAAAGATAGCACAATTTGTTCGCCTATGTTAACTGAAATTACAGAATCCGTTATCTTCACTATAACGATAGTAGCTAATGAATGATAAATTATTGAAAAACATAAAAACTAAAAATATCATAAAACAGAATAATGTATCTCAAATTGAATCTTTTTCATAATAACCATTTCCTACCTTTTTATTTAACTATATTGATAATATTCAGTTAACTTGAACTGACCTTCTAATTCAATACATTTAAAACGCTGTGTAATATTTTCTGATTCAAATCTTATTCATATCTTTTAATTTTCACATTCATTGCTATAAATTTAATAGAATGTATGTTTCGAATACTACCCAATGTTTTTTTGTAATCTTTTTTTTGGCACCAGAACATCTTTAAACCTAGACATAATTTTCCAAACAAACCTTGTTATCTCGATATCTGAATTTTCATTGGCTAACAAGAAATTGTCTGGTTTTAAACCAAAAGCTTATTTAAAGCCGTATTATAATAATTTACGCGTGCAGGTAAAAAAATCTTCTATTAAGAGATTTTGAAATTTGTTTCGCGCATTTTTTATAATTTATATCTAATCAAAGTTTCCATCTTTATCATAAATATATCGCATAGAAACTTGTGCGATCGTGCTCATTGCAGAGATCAGAAGCGGCTAGTTTACATGTATAGTATAATTTATAAACAATTAAAATCATTTATTTTCTAATGTATGAAATGAAGGCTAATTTCTTTTTGATTTGATGCGGTTTTCAATTATCTGAGTGAAAATCTATTACAATATCACAAAAGCGAGATGGTAATTTTTAGACGAGAACCTGGCAGGTTTTGTCCTCGACTGCTGTGCTTTACGATTCTAATTTAAAAGAATTGTTTTGTTATTCCAGGATTGAAAACGGGCATAGAATATAAATTATTGTAATTAATTTTAGAATTTGGCAACTCTAAGAAAATATTATTATTAACGACGACTATGATGATGAAACTTTGAATGATAATTATATCTAAGACAAACTGCATTACTTATTGTTATTTATACCTAATTAATATGGACTCAATACTGATACTGTTTTCTAATTAACAAAAATGATCCATTTACATGATAAAATAAGAATTAAAAAATGGATCCAAGTTTGTGTGTGTTTGTATCTGATCAATACTGCCGCCAAAATTAATTAACAATCTAGATATATCGATATTATTCTATAAAAGAAACCTACTACATGTACATGTATCAATGCAGGCATAACCAGGAGTACAGCATACATGTAACTTAGGGCTAGTGATACCATGGGGCTTTGCTAATAAAGAATTTGAAATTAATTATGTATAAAAAATGAAATTTTACAAAATGCGCGTTTTTCATCTAATGGAATGGCTGTATATTATTACGAAAAATTAGATTCGTGGCGTTATTTAAAGAAAGGTATCAGTAATAATAATACATGTATTCTGATGATATGAATACAAACCATTTGAAATCGCGAAGACAACTAATGAAATTGGTTTCATCACTTTTTAATATTTTTCTTGTTTTCTACAGACTGTAAAAATATCGGTTTTAACGTCTTTATATATGTTTTGATTTCTGCGAGATATGAATTCGCCTGGATGCATAATTAATAATTATCAGTTGTGAGAAAATTTTGAGCTGTATTTTTATTGTAAAATGAGGCAAATCAGTCAAAAAAGTTTGGTGTATTTTATTGTAATTACCCTATCAAAAAAATACAACTTTTGTACGTGTTTAAAATTACTATCGCTATTACTATGAAGCGTTGAAGTTGAATTTGAATATTATATCGATATTATTTTATCCTACAATAGGTGTTTCGGCGAAACATTTTCAAATTTCGAAACGTTTTGCTCAATGAACTTTCAATTTCGTTCTCCCCAAGATAAAACGAAACACTCACTATCTAATAAAAATCTAGATATTGACGCCAATACAAGTAACTTGTGTGTAAAAAATTGAGGTTTTTAATTTTTATCCAATAAGATAACAATTCAATTTATTCGCATTCTGAAATGAAGTATTAATAGTTTTGAAGAATATGATTCTATTAAATAAAATCATAATTAAAATCGAATACATTTAAAAAATTATTGAGATATCGTTTGTTAGTTTTATCAAAAAAGGTCACCAGATTTAATCTGCCACGTTAACGATGTTGAATACATGTAATCAAGTTATCGCTAACGATTGGCTATCTATATTCTGTTTCACATGTACATGTAAGTATCAGTAACGAATCAATTTACCGATACTTAACATCACAAAGCACAAATTTCCTAATAAATGCAGTATGTAGTCAGATTGTCTAGCTAGTTGACATTAGTTTTTGGATTGATTAAATTTTTATTGAAATATAATGGGAGCAAATATTTCTTCTGAAGCAGAAAATATCACTCCCTCCACTTCGGAAGAAACACAAAAATCTTCAGGTATAGAATTCGTCGAACAACAGCCACAAAATACAACAATCGAGATCAAAAATACTACTATTGATGAAAAAGAAGAAAATACAAGATACGCAATTCCTCAAGACATCAAAGAAAAATCCAGTCAAGAAATCCAACACTATATATTACGATATTTTGCGCAAGGAAATTTTCTATCACCTATTCACCAACATTTCAAGTCTGAAAAAAACAATGACGATAATACCCTGCAAATTCTTGACTTTAATTGTGGTCCTACGGGAACATGGGCAAAAGAAATCTCGCGAGAATTTCCTGAAGCAAAAGTCTTGGGTGTAGTTATTAATGATAGTGAAATTCCCTCTACAAGCAAAGATGAGGAATCAAACTTGAAATTCATAAAGCATAATTTATCGTCGTCAGGTGAAATGGATAATCGTCGTCTTCCGTTTGCGAGTAATACTTTTGACTTTGTACATTCTCGATTTTTATTAAATGAAATTAAAGAAGATGATATTGAAAATACGGTCATAAGTGAGTTTGTGCGAGTTGCGAAACCTTCTGGATATATTGAACTTGTGGAATGCGATGTAAGACATTTTAGCGATGGACCATCCACCCGAAAACTGACTAATGCTAGTATGTATTCTTCATTTCTCTCTCGCTCTCTCCTTATTCTCGCAATTATTCAATGCTGTATTTATATTAATCAATAATTTGCTTAGTGTTAGACTACCTGAAATCAAAGGGCCACAACGGCCAAATCAGCGATAACCTTGCACGTTATCTTCATCAAACGTCACAAGTGGGCGACATCAGACGACACGATAAAGCCATCCCATTAGGTCGTTGGGCCGGCCAAATCGGCGAACTAGCCATACAATCTCTAACAGATCTTTTTCGTAAGACGACCGGACTTCCGGCCTCAATGAAAATGTCTAGCGTGCAATTTCAAGAACTTTTGTCCTCGTATAGACAGGAAGTGGAAATACGACGTACCTTTTGTAAAGCACGGTGGTTTTATACACAGAAAATTGCCGAGTAGTAAATGACAATTTACCTGTCAAATTATATTTATATTAATAAACCTTAAAAACTTGTCTATTATTAATGAATCCGTCGGAAGAATAATTATTTAATTTGTGTAAAAAACCAGTAACTATTGCATTATCATTATTGATGAGGTTGATTTCTAATTTAACAATGCATTTATTTATCTATATAATGATTTATACAAAGACGAGGTTATTATTATTCTAGTTATAATTTTTTATATTAGATTAATTTTACAAATAAGTGATAACGATAACGATAACGTCTATCATAGCAATCAAGACTTTTCAGGATTAATTTTACTAATTTTTTTAGTAAAGAATCGATGCGTCCTAAAGAAAGTTCTACGTTCCTCAACCTCTTCTTTATACTCTGAAACCAGATTCTGATATTCCTCGTCAGTAACACCCATCGACTGTGGCAGTTCTTTAGAATCAAGGAAAAGAATCGATAAATCCTCAATGGCTAAATCACCAACACGACCTGCCCAATGTCCAAGTGGGATGGCTTTATCGAATTGGAGAATTTTGTCAACATTATTGGTTTGTTTTAGGTAGTGTGGGAGTTTTTCGCTTATTTTTGGGTTGTATCCTTTGGATTGTAGGTGTTTGCTTACTGATTGTGTTTTTAAAAAATGATGGATGTCGTTAATTTATATTTATGTGATCGATCAATAATTGAAATAATTAAAAAATACATACGAGAATTAGTAAGTCGCCGAATAACTGGACCTTCACTGTAATGCTGTACATCGAATTCAAGTAACTCGATCCACCCATTCGGTTTAGTAACTCGAACAAGTTCAGGGATCAACGTATTCTGATAATCTTCTTCCTTCACATCCGCCAACAAAAACCGCATATGCACAAAATCAAAAGCATTATCATCAAATGGCAAACGTTTCCTCTCTTGGAAATTATGTAAAATAAACTTGACATTTGGTGTCGTCACGTCGCTCGGGAAGAAATTCGTAATATCAACCCCGATCACTTGCGCCGACGGGAATTCTTTTGCTACTTCAATAGCCCATGTTCCCGCCCCGCAACCAAGATCGAGAACTCGTGCATTGCCAGCATTAAGGGTTTCTTGAATGGGTGACGAAAAGTTTCCTTGGTATAAAAAGCGCATCAAGTAGTGTTGTACTTCTAGACGAGGGATGCCTTTCAGGTGGTGGGGAATGTCAAATTTTGGGTTATCTTCTCGGTGGGCGTGTGCGTGGCCGTTTACTTTTTCTTCGGCAGACTTTCTTCGTTCCTCATCTGATGATCTACGTGGAGAGCCGTTTCTTGCGACAGCAGCGACTCCATCTTGGTCTAGTCGTGAAATGCGTGGACCCATTTTTGTATTTTTTGTTAATAATAAATTTTGTTTGAAAAGATTAATCAGGCAATGTATTAATGGTCTTTAGATAAGTTAGCTTTTGTTAATGCTCTTTTCGAGTATTTTTTTTTTAAAACACCAACAAATCTATGCTCTTTTTATATACGAAAATTAGTAATCGTCATGCTTATTCCTTATATGAAATACAGTACATGTATATAAAAGAAAATCTACACTAAACATGGACTCGATAAAATCCCCAATTTTGGTAATAAAGATGTCATTACAAACGCGGGGGCTACTCGTTGTTTCTTACAATTAAAAATATGACGAACTGTAAAAACATAAATAAATTATAAAAATAAACAAAAAAATGGATTATCTTGATTTTTTTGATAAGTGTATGATTGGTTCTGTCCCACTAGAAAGGGTCTGCCCTGCCAATAACGATTAACGTTAACGTTACAGATGATGTATAAAAATCATTGATAAGATTATCTACTATTGTCATACATGTATTGACGTTAACAATTGCGCATTTGTACTACTGTGTGTATTGGATTGTTATTGTGAATGGCTATTTTTTGCCGTTATGTACGTAATTGTTTTTTGGTGAAAAAAAATTAGATGATTGATCAAAAAGGATTTTTCTCAAGAATAACTACTGTAAATGCATGATCTTTTTTTTTTGTTTGGTACATTCTGAACGGAAAACGGTTTTACGTGATTCTTTCGTGATGCGTTATTAATCCACTTTATACAAATTTATGCTAAGTATGTAAATGTGCACGTTATCATTAACTTATGTTTATTATTTCGTAATATTAATATTAAATATACATATAAAGTACATACAATCAATTAAAATTCCAACATAATACAAAAAATGGGTAAAGTATCTAAAATAAGTATAGAATATATTAAAAATATTATTAAAATAGAAAATATTAAAAATATTATTAAAATAAAAATAAAATTTATTTGCGCTGCTCTCTTCTCAACAACTCTGCCGAACTTTTCGGCACAGGCTGCCGCTCATCACCAACAATTTTCTGTGTATAGAATCGATGTGTTTTGAAAAATGTTTTTTTGAGTTCTACTTCTTTTTTGTATATTTCGAGTAACTCGTGGTACTCTTGTTCGGTGATACCTATCGATTGCGGGAGTTCTTTTATGTCACCGAACATGCGAGAGATATCGTCGATTGCTAGTTCGCCTACTCGGCCGGCCCATCGTCCGAGTGCTATTGCTTTGTCATGTTGGTTGATTGTGCTGACTTTGTGTGTGTTTTTTAGGTATTGTGGGAGGTTGTCGCTTATGCGACCGTTATAGCCATTTGATTCGAGATAATTCATTACTATGAGTAAAAAAATTCAGATTAGATCATTTTTCCAAAAGAAAACTTGATTCCTTTTATTTTGTGAGAATACTTACATGAACTGGTCAATCGACGCGTGGTGGGTCCTTCACTAAACTGTTGCACATCAAATTCCAATAACTCGATCCATCCATTAGGTTTAGTAATTCGTACAAGTTCAGGTATTAAAGAATTTTCAAAATCTTTTTCCTTTACATCTGCCAACAAAAATCTCATATGCACCAAATCAAAAGTATCGTCATCAAACGGCAGTCGTTTATCCTCTTGGAAATTATGTTCAATAAATCGGACATTTGACACTTGTTTATTCTCAACCTCAATCGGAAAAAACGATGGTATATCAACACCTGTGACATGACACGACGGGAACTCTTTAGCGGTTTCTATTGCCCATGTTCCCGCGCCACATCCTAAATCGAGAACTTGACTAACAGTGTTGTTGTTGTTGTTGTTAGAGTTAAACAATGCGTCTTGCGGTGATGAAAAGTTGCCTTGGTATAGATATCGCATCAAGTAATGTTGTATTTCTAATCGTGGGATCCCACGTGTGTTTTCAGGAATCGCAAATTTCGGATTATCTTCTCTGTATGCGTGGTCGTGTCCGTTTACTTTTTCTTCAGCGGATTTTCTACAAGCAGAATCGTATGATTTGCGTGATGACCGATTAGATTGAAATGATTTTTTTCGTGCGAGTGCTCGTTCTTGTCTTGAGAATCTTGATCCCATTTTGATTATTAGAAGCAAATGATACCAGAAGCAAAGAAAGATCTTTTATTGTGATTGTGAAACTATAAGTCTCTTATGATGTTATTATTAAATCTAAAAAATGCGAAGTCTATCGTTTTTATACTATTTATTTCGTTCCTTGCGAATGAATCACGCTTACGACAAATCGTAAACTCCGCATACACCACACTCGAACACAAAAAAATTTTACCGATTCAATGATCATTTTTCTCACGCAGCTATACAAACAATGATCACTATTGCCTTTCAAAGGGAAACAAAACAACCAAAACAATCATTGGAAAAGTGTGGGGTATTACATAATAAAAAACCCGGTTTTCTTTAAAGAATGGAAATTTGTTTATGATTGTTTGACTTCCTCGTTATAGTTCTTAGGATGACATTATAAAGCTTTGATTATCGTTATCTTATCTAGATTCTGATTCATATTTTCACAACACTAACACAAGAAGTCGGCTGAGCTTCTTGTCCTTGTCTAACTCTGCAATAAATGAAAAAACTTTCGCGTGAAATTTCTTTTTCCCACACTCAATACTAACCTGTTTTGCAGAAGAATATAATTATGCGTAGCAAAAGTATCAAATTAGGACTTGTATTTACGTATTATTATTTTTTATGAGACACTATATCACTATATTGTACGTTGATACACGTACAATCACTATATAGTATTCACATACTGTACGTTGGTACAAAACACAATAAAACAATACCACCAAAGTTCCATTCAAAGTTATTGTATTGTGTGTTATTACTAGATGCTAGCCCTCTAGTAATAGTACAAATTTATTCTCCAAATATGCGTAGTATGTATGATACACGTTTTTTTTTTCTTCATAATTATATCTAACATTGTACATGTAATAAAATTTCTATCAATAAAAATATCAAACTACGTATTACTTGAAATTTTTCATGTTTGTGTTTTGATGAAATTGGCGGTGAGTTATCTCACTTACCCTAACGCTAACTTTAGTTCTAATACATATAGATCTCGTATCTATGTATAACATATACGTATACGTATAGAGTACATGTATGTCGTGCCTCAGGTGACGATTGCCTCCGGCCCAAATTAGGAGTTCTACTAGAGTTAGGGTTAGAGTTAGTGCTAGTGAAATAAATTAATGTTGGTCGAAAGTGATCATGTAAATAGACTCCTGAGGCAAAAAGACATCTGAGGCACAACATATACATGAACAATGAAACTCCGACTTGAATAATATCGATATAAAATTTCTTGAAAAATTTGTTTACAGACTACCCCATCTAAAGTCGCACCCTTTTATAATGCCAGTTCCAAGAGTATGTATTAAGAGAAGTATGATTTTATTACATTAGTTATTCTATATATACAATTATACTTCTCTTAATACATACTCTTGGAACTATAAAATGCATTTAAATTAACAAGGGCTGAGATATAATCTTGATGGAAGTCCATTATTTCTATTACGTATATGCAGAAAATGTTATTCGTTGCTATAAGAAGCATTGTAAAAAAAATACACGTTGCCGCAAGCAACAACAAGAAGGAATATTCTATATTTTATTTCGCATATATCAAATACGCTCGAATTAAAATTTCCATAAATTTTGAGATTTTTCTAATTATCTTTTGAATTTATCTACAAAGATATCAAATTCAAGTACGTACCTAGTCAATGCGATGATGCAGAGATTGGAAATTGGTGAATTATTTAATGAATATCATTTGTAAAACGTGATTTTCTTATTGATAAAACCATTTGTTAAAACGATTACATTTTAAGTTCGAAGAATTAAATTAAAAAATTTTTAAAATAAAAAATGTATCTATATTTACATTATATGTATTTATAAGGTAGCCCTCCCTATTTCCGAGCATGCATCTATTCCGTGTACTCAATACATGTATCTCGTAATTTTATTATAAAAACCTACTTTAGGTAATTAATTAAATATGTTCAGAATATAATTTTAGGTATATTTGTATTTTTTCGATAGTAATTTATAATATAAATAAAATTGAGAGTCTATTTTCATGCACTTAATAGCTCAAAATTTTATAAAAATATAGTTTAGGCTACTAAAGGATTAATGCAAAATTGGTATTATTATTATGTATGCAATAAATTAAATAAAAAATGAGAAATAAACTTAAAAAATATATAAATCTAAATTTTATTATGTATATACTTTACACTTGTGAAAATTCTCTTGATCATTCTGTTCGTTAGGACCTTTAGACATATTCGTTGATATCAACTGATTAACTGAATAAAACACTGCACATAGTTTAGCTTTGTTAAATTGAGTAATTGTGATGATTAGACACTGAGAAACGCATATCAATATCAATATCAGTAGATATTGTCATAGGCTTCATATAAATTATGTTTTATTTACCATTCTCAATATTTGTTACAATCTTCTCTAATTACACCTAATTTAGATAATATAAATTCATGAAAATCTCTATATGATAAAGTCACAAAAAAACTATCAAGGATTGCTATACAAGAAATATATAAAGTCATGAAAAGGATAAATTTGTTATGGAAAATATAATACACTTGTTTTAAACAAATATCCATTAATCAAACATCTGACTTTTTAGATACGATTGAGTGGTCGATATAGATGACTTTCAATTTATTGTAGAAACAAATATTGTTGAAGCTAAGATAAAAAATAAAAATAATATTAATAATACATATTATATTTTAAACAGTGAGATAATAAAGAAAATTAAGATGATTATGAGCTTGACGAAGCTTTTTTTACAAAAAATATAGTCCTTTCTGATGTGATTGATTCAGTTCTTCCAATGGAATATCCTCCTACTTCACAGCAAAGAATTGCTATTTATTGTATTCACATTGAAAATTGGGCTAAACCAGATGCAGCTTTTGATGAAGCAAGTATTTTCAAGTTTTCCAAGTAGTAGTTTACAATTTGTTAATATTTTTATTTAAAGATTCAATATATAATGGGAAATCTGGAAGGTCAAACAAAAGTTTTATGTTCTTATCTTGATAACATAGCCATAAAATTAATACGTAGTTGTAACTTGCGACAGTCAATCAGAGAGTTGCAATTAGTTGTGACAACAAATTAGATAGTTGCGACGAGTAAGCTTGCTGCCCCGTAATTGTTTTTGCAAAGTTTCAATCAATGAAAATAATAGACTGCACGGAAAGTATTGGCGGGAAAATTTTTACCATCTTCCTTCTAAAAAAAACTTGGTGTAAAAAAATATATGTACCTGGTACGTGGCATCTTCTATCCCGAAATGTATCTCAATCTCGGTGATTTGACACAGATATCAATTTGACTCGCGATTACGCAAAATTTTACTAATAGTTAACGAGTTTTTGTTTATTAATGTTAAGAAAAAATTTTCAGCTTAAAAAATTGTTATATACTAAAGATTGAATTTTATTCAATCGATAAAGACAGTTAAATATAAATACTTATGAAAATCTCTTTTATTCGACTAGAAATTAATCTTGTTAAATAATTGTTTATCTAGGTGTTATCGTTATTCTTGTTGCACACTAGTTTATGCGATTATTAATTACGTATGAGTCGCATTCACATTAAATTTATTGCCATTTTTTGTTTGGATACTTTTGCAATACGGAAAATGGAGGAAATTATTTTGAACACATCATCTGATCCGATTGAACAACGTAAAAATAGACTGATACAAAACCTAAAAAAATCTACAATCGAAATTCAACAAAAAGAAAATTAATCAAATTATCGATGAATTGTTTGTTCTTTTTCAAGAAATGATTCATTCTGCACAAACTTTAGGAGAAATTATTGAAGAATTAACAGAAAATGCACTTGAATGTAAAAAATTCTTGCACATTTTAAAGACAAATATTCAATATAATGTCTATTATGGTTTTTTGTATCAATATGGGATAAAAGTTGACCAGAATTTTAAAGCTGCTTTTACAATATATAAAAAATCAGCAAAGAAAAATAATTCAATTGCTCAATACTTGCTCGGATTTTGCTATGAAAAAGGAATTTGAATAGCGATAAATGATAACAAGGCCTTTAAGTGGTATTTGAAATCAGCGGAGGATGGAAATGCTAACGGACAATATAATCTTGGTTTCTGTTATATGAAGGGTATTGGAACACAAAAGATGAGAAAAAAGCATTTGAGTTATATTTGAAATCAGCGGAGGGTGGACAATATAATCTTGGTTTTTGTTATATGAATGATATTGGAACCCAAAAAGATGATAAAAAAGTATTTGAGTGGTGTTTGAAATTAGCGGGAGATGGAAGTGCTAATGGACAATTTAGCCTTGGAAACGTTTACTATCATGGAATTGGAACAAATAGAGACATGAACAGGGCTTTTATTCTATTTCAAAATCAGCTGAGACTGTAAATATACAAGCTCAATATCTTCTTGTTAGGTGCTACTTTCGAGGAGAAGGAACGGCTAGAAATGAAAACAAAGCATTGGAGTGGTATTTAAGATCTGCTGAATCTGGATATCAATTAGCTCAATTCCAACTTGCTGAATGTTATCAATACGGATTCGGAGTCTCAAAAGAGCTTGATATGGTACCAAAAAGCTTATGAGAATGGGTACGATCGCGCTGCAGAACTGATTGGCACTTTTTAATTATGAAAAAATATATTCATACTACTCATAATTTAGATGTGTCAAATATAGTAAACCCCTCTATAGTCACTCCCATTATAATTACATATAAAACCCCCACTATAGTCACACTCTTTTTAAGAACCAGCTATAATAAATTACTTATCCATAGTCACATTAATAATAAAACGCCCCCCCCGCCACTATAATCAACTTTCATAAAAACTATAGAGGGAGTAGGCAATATTAAAATGTAACATCAAGAATATGCGTATACATAATGGGATTATATTAGACAGACAATTTATAATATATCTTTTCGGTCATTCCCATGTATATGGTGCATAAAATCTAAAGTCATCAA